AATCTGAAAATGAATGAAAAAAGGGGCGGTTCCATTTAAAAAACCAAAGTTGGTAACTACCACACGTTTATGATACACCCCGTATATTGGAAAGTAATTTTAAAATGTGGACCTTTTAAACATGAAAAACTTTCGTAGGACGTATTTTCTTGTAAAGTTCATATTTACTGAGATATCGCACTTTGACGCACTAATGAGCAACCCTGTATATATATTTATATGTATTTTTGTGTAGTTGTGTCATTTATCCCTATTATCAGCTGCCCCTTGCGGCACAATTAAAAATAAGCAAGTGTAGTGGGTACATAATGCAGGTTTGTTTGAATTCTTTAATTCTCAGCCACCAGGGCGCGCCACTTTAGTGACACACTTTCAACAAGACTAAGAGTCGTTTCTATATAAGCCTTGTTCTATGGCCCTGTAGTCGAGGTTGTAGCGCCGCATATGCAAAAAATAACTGGTGATGGTGGTGGTGGATTCTAGCGCGGCGGCTAGGCGTTGGTCCGGCAGTACGGATGCTTAACTGACTCGGAAGTACGGGACGCTGGTGGATTGGGTTAGGTAGTACGTTGGCTTAAGTGACTCAGCAGTACGGAACATGAATGAATGAGGAGCGAGCAGATTGTGGATTGCAAATGACGTGGTTGACTAAAGGATTTAAATGGTGGTGCATGGAGTTCGGCAGTACGGAACAACGGAACATAGTAGATCTGGCAATACGGAGAACCCGCAGCTCGGAAGTACGAGATTGAAATTGTGACGGTCTGAATGTGAACTGCACGACCCCTTGTAAGTCGTGATCCCTAGGACGAGCATGGGGGCGGAAAGAGCATGCTTGGAAACTAACGATTGGGAGTGAAAGATGAATGTGGACGAATATCTGCCCCCCGCTAATTAGAGGGTGGTTGGTCCAAAGAACGGAGATGGGATTTCCCGTGATAGTGGATTTGGGAGCTAGTAGGTAACGGTTTAGAAAAGGCTATTGAGAAGTCGAGAACCCTTAAGGCTAACGCTAGGTGGGTCGCTACAAGGCAAATGTTTCATGTCTCTGTGAAGATCATTATTGCTGGCGAACCATAGTGCATTTGCTATTTCACGTAATCCTTTATTTTGGACCGTTTGAATCATTTTTATGTGTGTGCTTTTTGTGCATCCTCAGAGCTGAATCCCGTAGAGCCATTTGTGGTCCATAATTTGTTTATATATTAAAAGTTTGTTATGCAAAGTCATCTTGGAATGCCTGCCAATCAGCCATCTATAGTGTGCAATTTTAATTTTCAACTCGTTTACTTTCTTTCTGACATGTTCATTCCATCTTAAGTTAGTGTTCAAAGTCATGCCAAGGTATTTTGCAGTATTGGCATATGGGAGGCCGGTTCCATTAATATTTATTACTGCGGGATCTGTCAAATGTTGGTTGTTAAAGTTAACATAGGTCGATTTAGTTTCGTTTAGTTTAATTTTCCACATATGTTGCTATTGTAATTTGTTTCGGTTGGGGTATATATCTGGTAGAAAGTCCGAAAAAAAAACAGGACAGGCCCTAGGACTAGTGCTGTGTAGTTCGCGAACGAACTAGTTCAAAAGATCGAATCAGGGAACTGAACTAGACGATCGAATCTTCTAAATTGAGAGAGCGAATCAGTAGGAACCACAGGGGTAACTGTTTACATCTGAAATTCAGCCAACATCAAGACACGAAATTGCGGTAATGCCGGTTATGATATGAGCCGTTTCTTTCAT